TTGAGTATCTCAAGCCCAAATTGGAGTAAACGCTCGGCTGCCTAACAAACATTAGTAATGTGCAATCAAATTCTTTTCTTCCTTTTTAATCTTAACCCTAAAAGTTTTTCGACTAAATATAACACTCGTTTTCGATTGTATGTATATCTACATCACAATTTTAAATCTTAAGCCTAATTAATTTGAATTAAATAGTTATATCCTTGAACTAACGTCAACTGTACGAGTATTCGTAATAGTTTGCTGCCCTGATAATTTTATCAAATATAAACTCACGCACGCGCAGCCCACAAATGAAGTCGAAGTGATTCCAACGTTTGCGTGGTATTTTGTAAACAGCCTGAAGGTTGCGCATGCGCATCAGTAGTCGCCAAATATCCTCCACCGAAACGATGTAATCATTATCAGCGTAGAAAATGGTAACAGGCGCTGTGATGAGCTCCAGCTGATAGTCTGGCGGTTCTAATTGATTGTACATTAACCAATTCTTCTCCGGGCCATAGTCATATTGGCGGAATTTCGACGAGACGTAGCCCTGGAAGTAGTGCATAATTTGCTTAAAAGAGCCACCTACGGGAAAGTTGGCCATTATGTCGGGTAGCAAAGTCTGCAAACAAGTAAAACAAAATTACAAGACGTTACAGATATTCGTATATGTATTTACCTTGTTCAGATGTAGCGTATCATAGCCCACAGCCGGCCAAAGGCGGCTCACACACACCATGGGCCGCTCGTTCTCGAAACAAAGTGACGACAGGAACTTCTTCACAAACTTGTTTGTGGATACCATCTCCATGCCCTCCAACACTTTGGCCACATAGTTGCGTGTACCCAATATGGGACCGAAAATCTTCGCCAGCCCACCTTTTGTATTACTGACGTACGCCACCGGCGCCAACAGATGTGCCGTCTTGAAGACAGCATTGTATTGCGGCAAAATTGAGTTGAGCACCAAAAAGACAGTGCCACCTTGTGAGATGCCCACAAAATGCATCTTTGCTTCGCCTGTACACTGCAAAATGTAGTCCACCATGGCGGGCATATCGTAAATGCTCATCTCATGCCAGCTGAAGTTCCAGAATTCGCGCTCAGTCGTGTTGTACCAAACATTGCGTCGCGTATAGATATTGCCGCGATTGTTGCCCAACCAAATGTCGTAACCTTGACGCCACAACAGATATGGCAATGAGTTTTCGCGACCATTTAGTAGCCAAGCGTCTGAGGAGGCGTAAATGCCGGCCAACAGGAA